AAATTATCTTTTTTAAATAGTTGGTGCATTTTAAGTCAGTTTATATATTTCTGCTTTTATTTTTAACTATGTCACTTTTGGTCCTCCATACAGACAGCCAAAGATCTTAAATAAAAGGAAAGAAATTTGTATTTTGGCTGTAATTGTCAATTGATAACATTCATAACCATGGTGCAAATAAATATAACGTAATTATCAGTGTGCCTTTTCCATTTTTATTTTAAAGTAATTGATAAAAGAAGTAAAACGCATTTCCTAAAGAAAAAACGTTTTACTCCATCTGACATATGTCTGCAAACTGACTCATTTCATACAGTTTATATTAATTGAAACAATACACACAAATAGGAGGTTGAGAGCAGTGTTATTCTGGGACCCTCCTCCCAGTGCTGCAGTCCCCATTCTGTAAACAGAACACACAGACACACACACAGACACACACAAAAAAACACACATCTGTGATCCATTTCTTCCTCTGTCCTTCTGTCACATGAGTCCATATGGCATTTGTCATGTCCCTCTGCTCTGTCTTCATCACAGTCAGATCCCGGCTGCTTCACTCAGCTCCTGGTTTCTGCGTGTTGCAGGAAGTATAAGAACAGTTGTTGTWCGCAGCTTTGTTCTTATATTTCAAAATATTACCCACAGCCTCCCAAACTGGATCACGGTAAAACAGTAAAAAATTTCCTGCTGAAATTTCACTTTATCTAAACTCATTTTAGTCTTTTATTTGTTTTAACATAAAATATCAAAATCCTTTTTTAGAGAGCATCTGTTGGAATGTGGGACAGAATATCAGACTTAAATGTCACAGACAAGCCGTAGTGAATAAAATTATGACTAAAATAATCAAATTCCTGTGGATTATAGCTGTAAAAACATAAACATTGCCATCTGATGCTTGAACAAATGTCTTAAATTAATCATTACTGTTTGGTACTGAGCAGCAGACATACTTACCTCTGAGGAAAATGCTTGTTGCAAGCTGCCAAAAGTGTTCCCTTATGTGTTTGTAGGGGGTAGTGGAGGGATTCACAAGCATGGATAGAGGTCAACTGATTTTATCAATAYTGTGTTGAAATTTGATGTGGTAGAACAGCTAAATCATCCACAGTACAAAGGCGGAGCTAAGCTTTTTTGCAGGAAAGGCCAAGGTGTTTTTGGGGGGCCACATACAAATTAAAAAAAAACTGTCGACTTTTTAAAAAATATTTTGAGCTGAAACTTTGTGTCATTATAGCTAATAATGGTCCAAAAAACAAACAAACTTATTATTCAACCACTTTTAGACATGCAAAGCCAAAGGTTTCTGTAGAAGTAGCCGAAAACAATCTTTATCAAATGAAAAATTCAAGGTGGCCACCACAGCTAACGTTAAAATCAGCCTTTTAAGACTTTAGATTCAGTTTGTTGTAGAGTAGCTGAAAAAGATCCTGAMTTTCTATGCTAATACCAAATTAAGCTAACCACTAATGCTAATTTAACAAAGGGCTGTAATTCAACCATTTTTAAACACACATAYCTTAAAATGTAAATAGTACAGTAGTATCAGAGAACAAGCTTTTACAAAATCTAAACGAAAATACTAAATCAAAGTTTCCCACTCTTTAGTCTATTAGATTGTGGCCAATCAGCTTCCAGCCACTTCCCTGGCTCCGCCTCTGAATACATAAACAAATGTTCTTTTTTAATTTGAATAAACTTTGTCACTCAGTGTTCTTACAAGCACAATGTGTGTTGTGTTTTTCTGTTGCAGTGTGAAAACTGGTGTGCACGTGAACCTGCGAGAGACTGGAGGGACTAGTCTGATCCGGACTCCATCATCTGCAAGTTTTTCTGAAAAAAAAAAAATTCCCAACTTCCTTGCTGCCAACGCCAAGGCTCCTGCAAAAATAATCCCACTCTTTTTTTTTCATGGAAGGGATTAAGGCTTTAGTTCTCTTCCCTTGTTTTCTACCTTTTTGTTCCAAGCACGACCAAAACCAGATGCCAAACTGACTGTGTCAAGAGGAGAAGCAAAAAAAAGTCTTTAATGGAACTACTGATCACAAAATAATCAGTTATTCTCATTTAACCCATAAATACATCAAACATCTCATCAAATTTAAAYCCCTTACTTGCTGTAAAAATGTAATATTTGTTCAGTGTTTGCTGCTCTCCATGCTTACAGTGCGACTCCCTTCTCATGAGACCGTAATCAGTGCATTATTGGTTCAAAGTGCTTTATAAACAGATCGCCCAGTCGCCGGCTTGCTTGTAGTTCTGAGTGACAGCCGAAGCGTGTGCTACGCAGCGATAGCTTCAACGGGACGCCGTTKTGACTGACGGGTACCACGAGCCACGTCTAGCCAGACAAATCCAGGCACCAGAGCTGCCACCGCCGCTGCTTCTGCTGGCTGCTGCTATCTCAAAAGGCTTAAACCGTTCCTCTCAATCTGCGCTGTGAAACACTGTCGACACTTTTGCCTATCTCCTTCTTCCAGTGGTTTGTATTAGCGACGCCTCTCATYGTTGTCGTCTCGTTTTTCTTCCGTCCGTGGCGCTCGGTTCATGCYGCACCGAACGACGTGAACACGCCCCCCTTTTCCCCGGCTCCCGGTAACCTCCCCGACCTCAACGGCGTTCTTCCTTGTTTTCAACGAGAAACCATGCAATTTAAAACCTTTCACTGTAGTCRCATTTTTCTTTGAAAGGATTTTGTAAAAATGAACACAACCTAAAGCCATACCGAACACCAGCCATACATCTAACGTCTCACAATCTATAAATTTGTTTGGTTTTGTTGTCCAGAGGGGATTTTTCTATCACATTGGTGCACATACACATTCAGGGAATCAACGAGAGAACTGCTAGTGAAGACCCCCCCACCTCCCAAAACAAATTTCAAATGTTTGTATAAAAGAACAGCTTTGTATGTTCTGAATTTTTCTACCTGCATTTTTCTAAATCCAGCCTCCGCAGTGAATCTGTGATCACAAGGCCCCGCTGCGTCGAGTAGCGCCCGTGTCCAGTTCCACGTCTTCGTCTCGTGCTCCTCTTCGGTGACGGATGAATCCAGACAYTTTCATGTCTCTTCTGTGGGCAAAGCCTCGCTGCCCTGCTAGAACCGGGCCCAAGCCCTCCTTCGTTCTCTTCTGTTGGGCCAAGCTAAACTCAGAGCAGAGACACTCGCGCGAGGGGATCGAACGCACATAGATCCACTTTATTTGTTTATCTTCTTTTAAGTTGCCACCAGCTCTTTATTGTTCACACTCTTGTGAAAGCCTTTACRTGCTCAAATATTAAACGAGCTGTTATCTAATTTGATGCTGCTTAAAACTGTTACACACAAATTAGAAAATTAAAGCAAAATGAGAAGCGTATTACCTTTACTAATTCTCTTTTTGTAAATTCCTTAAAAGTTAATTTATCTGGAAAAAATGTAAAACAAATTTGTGTCTAAATTGAGCCAAATTTAACTTTCTCCTCAACTTAACCTACAAACAAAGCTGAAAAATTTGAAGCTGCCATCACGGTTATTTACAGAGGCAAACACACAGTGTGTGATTTTATTTGACACATAATCCATACAGGTCAACAGAAGTGCCAAACTCCAAGAAAAATAGATGTAGTAGAGCAAGTTAAAGTTTACATACAGCACTCGATGTTTACAAACCACAGTTTTCATTCAGTTTTATTTTTCAGTTCATTTCAAACTATGTGCCAACTCCCAGAACAAAGTTTCTGTGAAGATATAAGTCTTTCCTGTTGGACATTCTGTTAAGAGTTTACACTTTTCTCAAACTTCTTTTGTTTACAGAAAAACCTTATAAATACTGCCGATTTAAAAACCTTTAAAGGGGGAAAAGGACGCCCCTTTGTCGACTGACAGACCAAAATTAAACATCTAAAACCTGGTGCCATACAACGGATCCATCTTGTTTCTGTTTCGTTGGGATTTCATTTAGACTGTCGTGAAGCATAGGGCCTAAAATTTGTGAAAGACCTCAATGTTTACACAAGCTGCTTTTGGGAGGGATTTGTACTCAAAGAAATGTTTACATTCAGATGGCGAGAAATGCCAAACACATATGTGGATGAGCTGCTGAAATCTGAGGGAAACTCATCCACCTGAACGACATGAAACGGGACTAATTCTTCACACTGACTTGAAAACTTTTCATTGTGGACAATTTTTTACATAATTCAAGAAGTTGCCATTTCGTCGGAGGACGCTGATCAATTTTTTTATAGCTTTTTTTAAAATGGCGGCCCAGAAACTTTGTCGCCAAACGATGAAACCCGTCGTTTCCGAGATGAGGTTTTGGCTTTGCACCGTCCTCATGCTTTTCTACTGCCTCCMTGTTTCCACGCTCACCGTCACGATGGAGCGACGAGCTGTCGATGGAGACCTCAGAAACTCTGCGGCTGCGGATAAAAAAAGCGCCACTCTGTTCCTCCTGACGGGCTACAAGCCTCCGGGCGCYGGCCGAGCCGCGGCGGCGCCAAAGGCGGCCGAGATGGAGGACGGGGACGATCCGCCAGCTGTGGCTGAGCTCCCCCCAAAGCCCCTCCCTCAGACCATGCTGTCGAGGAACATGACAGAAGTCGGACTGAAGCCCCCMTACAGCCCAGCCCAGGTGGCTCCACCCCCCAGACAGCTGGTTAATGTGGACATCTGCAGGTAAACCTTTGTTTAATGGTTATACATGACTTCACACTCACCAGTGGTGGGCAGCGCTAATTCAAAATTTAGTTGCTAACTTCTAAARCGCTAGTCAATTTATTTAGGTCYGCAAGTTCAAAAGCACTTACGCACAGTAAAACTTAGCRGAAGCTAAATATAAAGCACAATWTTAGCTCTGTTTACCAGAAAACATTCAGGTATGAGATAAGTCAGCAAAGATCATTTTCATTCACAGTTTGGCTCATGTCGTCGCAGTTTGGGGAGGTGATTTGTTGAAACAGACTTTTAAATCATGGTGTTAAAACGAAAAATTGTTCCGGATTGCTAGTTMTGCTGCTTTTTGGTCATTTTCTTATGTTTATGGTAGGGCTTCTGTAAGAAAGATCAAATTATCTATCTATCTATCTATCTATCTATCTATCTATCTATCTATCTATCTATCTATCTATCTATCTATCTATCT